GTCATGATCCTGGAGTCCCAGGATCGAGTCCCGCATCGGGCTCCCTGCTCAGCGGGGGGTCTGCTTCTCCCTCTGACCCTCTTCCCTCTCGTGCTGTCTCTCATTCTCTCTCTCAAATAAATAAGTAAAATCTTTAAAAAAAAAAAAAGTTTTGACCAAAGGCTCAAACCTACTGCTGTGTTTTTTATGATTTTATTTATTTATTTGACAGAGAGCACAAGCTGGAGGGGCAGAGGGAGAGGGAGAAGCAGACTCCCCCGCTGAGCAGGGAGCCTAACCTGGGGCTCTATCCCAGGACCCCGGCATCATGACCTGAGCCGAAAGCAGATGCTTAACCGACTGAGCCACCCAGGCGCCCCCTACTGCTGTGGTTTTAAGGTCCGGGTGTTGCTTGCTAACTGACTGAGCAAAAAAACCAACAGGCTAAGGAATGGCTACACAGTGCAAGCCAGCCATCTCTGACAATCCTCTGCATTCTCTCCTTTCCAGCCCTGAAGTTGGGAGTTAAACAGAACCATGTATTTAACAAAATAGCTAGCACCCAGCCTGGCACATGGTACGCAACTCAAACATGCTGATGAGTTCTTTCAAGTGTTCTGGAAGCAGTGATATGAACATGAACACATCTATCCAGAGGCACAGGGGAGGGGTGCGACCCCCAGGAAGCACGCAGTCCCCCAACCTGCGGCTAGGGCTCTCCTCTGCAAAGGGCAGCCGCCCTCTACCACCTGCCCCGCCCTGACAGGGCAGGAGGGGTAAATGACATCGGACATCTGAAAAGCCCTCTGTCATCCCCCAGGCACTGGGCAGAAAGGTTAGGAAGTATCTTAATCTATTTACAGTATCTCACTTTTTGTACCACAATAACCTTTTATTTTTCTCAAAGTTTTCAAATAAGCCCCTAACTCCATTCCTGCCAACAAGCAGGACCACTGTACCTTTTATGAGAGCTAACAAGAAGCATCTTTTCTTTAAGAAACTAAAGAAGAGGCATTCTTTTGACAACCTTCAAAAATAGCTCAGTCGATTCCATAAGGTCATCTTTGAGAACACCCCCAAAAAAAGCACTCACCATCACTCGGCAACTAAGCGCATCAGGTCAGTGCCACAGGGAAGGCGTTCCATAAAGGAAAATGGGAACGGCCTGCCAGTCAGCTGAGGAGGACTTGCTATTCTGATCCCCGGACTCGCTCTTTGTCTCTTCGGATTCCCCCATCCCTCCTGTCTGTTTCCACGCTCTACAAAAGGGTTTAGAAGTTATATTTCTGGCCCTGTGATTCTTGCAGCCACCGCTGGGTTTAGAGCCGATTTAGCCCCAGAAGCGGCAGGGGACTGAGCCCACACAGTGCCAGCAGGGACAGATGCCAAGCCCGCTCCAGCTCACACGGCCTGGCTGTCCTATGGGCAGCCAGCCCTGCCCAAGGGCTCTATTAGAGAGCAAAGGCGCCTCCCCTGCCCCGGCCATCTCTCCACCCCATAAGCAGGGTCTCCCTCCATGGGAGGAACCAAGGGGGCCTTTCTGAGAGCAGAGAAAGGAGGAAAACAAAGGGTCCTCGAGAGAAGCCAAGAGGAAGATACGGGGCACCACCTGGACATGCTCTCCCCACCCCCTCCCCGGGGCTGCCGGAAAGGTGCTACCCCTGGGTCTCCCCAGGAGCTGGAGTTAGTGGCTTCAGGGTTAGCAAGTCAAGCTGGGCAGTTGTTGGTCATGGCGAAGGACAGGCATGAAAGGTATGCAGCAAGGTTGTGGGCCATATGGCGCAGTCGGCCCTGCCCTCCCCCCCAGGCCTCCCCCCACCCCTCCCCCAGCAGCATAGCCGTGTGGTGAGGTGCCAAGGCTACTGCCAGCTTTCTGAACACAGCACAGGGTACTGCGCCCGGGCTGTCTGGTGTGTCCCCTCCCCACCCCTGCTCCCATCCAGCCTTGGAGGGAGGGGCCAAGTGGGAACCGTGGGGCGGCGGGGGTGGGGGTGGGGGGTAGTCCGCCCCACCACCTGGACGACCCAAGGGCAGACAACGCCCTTCGCCTTTCCACCCCATAGATGGGGTTCGCGCCAATGAGGGTGGAGGCCAGCGCCTTGGCCGCTGACATTAGGAGTCCCAAATAGCACTCGTCTCTACTGCAACTAGAGCTGGATTTCTCTCCACCGCCTTCAGCTTGAGCAAAACCAGTCCTGTCCTGGGATAGGCCGCTTCCCGCTGGCTCTATCACGGCCACTGCCTCGTCCTCCATTGCTCCTGTCACCCGTACCCAGGCCTGTGTGGGCAACTGTCCAAGCACAGCAGGGCACTGGTCTCTCGCCAAGGGACAGGGAGTCCCAGGAGTTCCAGACAGAGCTCTGAAGGCAGCCAGCGTTGTGTCTCGGGTGCCCCCAATGCCGGGCTCTGCATGTGGCAGATTTTTTTTTAAGAGATTTTATTTATTTGTCAGAGAGAGAGAGAGAGAGAGCACAAGCAGGGGGAGTGGCAGGAAGAGGGAGCAGGGAGCCCGATGCGGGGCTCGATCCCAGGACCCCGGGATCACGACCTGAGCCGAAGGCAGATGTTTAACCGGCTGAGCCACCCAGGCGCCCTGGGGCAGATTTTTAATGCGCGTCTGCTGGTCATTCTCCACCAAAAACGGGGAGAGGGGTGAAGAAAGCAGAGCTAAATAAGCAGCAGGGACGCCCTTGCCTTCAGAGCCCCACAGGCATCTGCAAAGGACTCGGAGACCTAGGATTCTGCTGTGCGGAGCATGTGACTCAGACACCGATTCCCTCCAAGGACCAGGCAGGATGGCAGCCGCTTCCAGTGCTAAACCACTCAGTCCTCAGGGGGTACAAGCTCAGCCAGAGGAATGAAAGAGGGTGCGTACCAACACCAAGATGGTTTGGCAGTGCGACCCAACTCCAAACCAGGGCCGGGCCACCTTCCTGTGTCCCAGCCAAAAATATGACAAAGCCCATTGTTCTGATACCCAATAGGGTGCCCTTGCCTGTCTTGCCAGCTACACGATCACAGGCCGTAATGGCCACAAGTAACTAAGTGCTCACCGTGTGTCAAGCAGGGTACACACATCGGCGCAGATCGCTGGAGGAGGCAGGAGAGCCCAACGAGATGCCAAAGCCAGTCATCCCAGGTGATCCACTCACCGGTAACCACGTGAGTGCCAACTTTATGCCGTGCTCCAGGCCAGGCACTGGGGATCCAATGAAAGTGAGACCCAGCCCCTGTCCTCGGCCCCCTCCTCAATTTGTGGCAGAAAACAGACAGAAAAAGGGTCCAGGAAACACAAAGTAAGACCATCTAGAGAAACTCCTGCCCACGTGCACCAGGAATCCTGAACAATAACAATCCTGATTATAACAGTCGTGCTTGTAACAGCAAACAAATAAAATAAAATGGAAATAACATTAATGGCCAAAAAAAAAAAAAAACCAAAACCAAAAAATCCAACCCTCGAGAGAAACAGAGAGAGAGATGCCATCATAATGGGGGCATTAACTGGAGCCCAGCTTCGTGACAACTGGGTAAATCCTAAACGAGGCCTGCCATGTTATTTTCTACAAATTGTTTAAATCCCCTAATCCCCCATTTTCTCCTCTGTAATATTGGGATGAACACTACCTAAATCAAATGGTTCTGTGAAGACTAAACGTGACAATCTATACAAAGTGCTTACCTCAGGATAAATAAAAATAAATAAAATAGGATTATCCCTTTTTTAGTTACCCACAAAACAGATGATATGCACAGATTTAAAGTATGACATCTTGATATATTTCTAACTTTATCACATGTATACATTTCCAAAACGCTCAACTCTCCAAAAGTTTGGGGTCTCTAGTCTGCACTTGATTCTTTACTGAGGGTCACCAGGGTGGCCACGTAATTTAGCGCCTAAACCAGGACACCTCTGAGAGCGGGGAAAAAAAAGGAAGGATGAGCAATCCTACCAGGACCAGGATGTAAACCAGATGTAGCATTCTGAGCAAACTGGAGGGGCTGGTCACTTTGTCCACTGTTCACAGGCCAATTTCAGCGGCAAGGCCAGCAGCCATCACAATGCACCCCCCTCCACCACTTTTGGGAGCTGCCAAGCTTGAGAGCTGGCCCAATAAGACTCCAACCTGGATGAAGTCACCAACGGTGTCACCCCACCCAGCAGTCAGGAAAGTCAGTGGACACGGACACACACCCCCCTTCCACACACACACACACACACAGAGCTCCTCCCAAAACCTGAAGAAGGGAGTCAGACCCCGGTCCTGGCACCTGGCACCTGTCCTCACCCCTCACGTGCTATCCGCCAGCACGATGTCAGTCAGCGGTCCTTTCTGCCTCTCGGACGTGCCCCTTACCTCAGGTGTCCCAGGCTGTAGAACCGGGACTCGCCGTCGGTGGAGCGGACCACCTGCAGCGTGAACATGGGTTGCAGCTGCCTGAGCTCCAGCAGGACGATGGCCAGGTAATGGATGAAGAGGAGGGCGTCCACCAGGGACACGGCGTACTGCACGATGCCCTGGTAGTTCCGGTCCCGCGAGTCCAAGATGCGGACCCCGTAAAACAGCCAATAGGAAACCACAAAAAGAAAGATGAGGACCAACAAAAGGGCACGGAACACAAACACCCGCGGCACGTCGGCCCTCTGCTTGCGGAAGAAGAGCGCCCAGGTCCCGATGAGCAGAATGAGGAGCTTGAACGCCACGGAAATGAAGAGTCCCTCGCAAATGGTGCCACAAGGCTCCAGCTCGTCCCTCCACAGGATGGGGGGTAACAGGATGAAGGCAATGGGGGTGAGGAACACTAGAAGTCCGAGGACCGAGGCCACAGTGAGGCCCAGGTAGCGCTTGCAATCCAGCCCCACGCTGTCCTCCATGTCCTTGCTGATCCTGGCAATGTCCTCCTGCGAAATGCTGTGCTCTGATGTGCCTGTGATGGCCGTCGTGGTCTCTCCCCAGTTGTCATCCTGATGGGGAGAGAGGACAGTGAGCGCGAAGAGCCACAGGCGGCAGGTCAATGGTAAAAGCCACGAAGCCAGCCCTCGGACACACGGGAGCCCTGCCTCCCCGAACCAACCCACACCCACGGGCAAGCCTAGAACGTGGAAGCTGCACCCTTCAAATACAGGAACTGTGAACCTTGACGACCTTTGCTGAAGTTTTTCAAGCTGCATGTTATATTCACCTTTTCAAACAGAGAAAACACAGTCTAACCTTGTGGTGGGTGTGTTGGGGGGCTTCATTACTCTAATGTTGACGATCATCCCCCATGTTGGAATCTCCTGAGACGCCCTGGGCCCTGCAGTAAGCCATCCCGCTGCGAGACCTAACATAACAGGGCTCACCTATGGCAGAAGAAGACTCTGCGTTCTCTTCTTAGTTCATGGCTGGGTTAAAAAGGCTGACAAAGTCCCACTCCTGGAAGTGGGGCATTACAATACCCTCCAGCAGCTCTGAAAAGCTATACGTACAAATCACAGCTGACCCATAGCTAGTTTTTTGTTTGTTTGTTTGTCTTTATAATTATCAGTGTCAAGCACTCCTCGACCATGTTTCTCACTGAGCAAGCTAAGCAAATTCAAGTACCGCTGGCCAGGACAGCTCAAAAATTCCTCCCCGAAAACACACGTTCTCATGCCACACTGAACATCGAGGGCACAGAACTCCCAGGCTATTGCAATGTGTCTTTGACTTTCTTGCTTTCTCTCTCTTTTTAACCTCTGAGGTAGTTTCCAGTAGGACCAATCAGTCCCTTTAATGAACAAGACCCAGTTCTTAAGGTTTTTAAACAATCCTGCTGTTTTGCTGGCAACCTGACCCCACTACGAAGCAACAAGAGAGCAAGAAGGCAACGAAAAGCCACACGGGGTCCACAGAGGTTTTGCCTCAGAGATCTGTGTATATGATTTAACTTGGAAAAAACAGTCCGATGTAGGGGCAAGCCGGGTGAAATTCATGTGGAAGACGACAACTTAGAAAAATCTAGTTGAAGTTGACAGCTGAATCAGCAAGACAGGGAGCCCACGAATAATAACCTTAAATCTAGTAATGATCAGAAAAATATGATTTATGAATGTATAGGCTACAGCAAGGCGTGGTGGTGGTGGCAGAGGTCTTGACCTAGGAACAAAGAGTTCGTCAACTTGGAAAGTTACAAGCGTCACACACCATGAAAGAAACGACTCTGCAGGACAACAGACAGAAGACTCTCACACATGGCTGAGGGAAGTATAAAATGGTACAGTCGCTCTTGAAAATGGGTCTGGCAGCGTCATATAAATTCAAATATATGCTCAACTGTATGATCCGGCAAATTCCACTCCCAGGTTTTTATCCAAAATAAATGTAAACATATGTCTGCAAGAAGACCTGTGTCAGAATGTTCTTAACAGCTTTGTTCGTGACAGCCCCAAATGGCACCCCTCAGATATCTATCCATCAGGGGAACAGGTAATAAATTCATACAACAGAATACTCTCAGCAAAAATAAAAACGGATGAATTGCTAAAAACTCACCAAAACATGGGTAAGTCTCAAAATCATTATGCTGACTGAGAAAAGTCCGAAACAAAAGAATATGATCCCAATTATATTAGGTTCTAAAACAGGCAAAACTAACGTACAGTGATAGAGATCAAAACAGGCTTTTTATCTTGGAGAGGTGGGGATGGGGACGGGAATTGACTGGGTAGAACATAAGAGAACTCTGTAGAGTAATAAAAATATATATATATATATTTTGACAGTGGGAGTTACATGGGTTTATTCAGCCGTTTGAACTTCTCAAACTGTACACTTTAGATCTGTTCATGTCTCTGTGGGTAAATTTACTTCAATTAAAAAAAAAATCACCAAGAGGGGAAAAAACAGCCACAAATTCAAAGATCGACAGTACTCGTTGTAATATAAGGTAAGTTCATAAAATACTTTACTTTGTAACACTCTGGAAGAGTATAGGGCAAATACCAGATGCCATGTTTTATATTGGGCCTACTATTCAGGTGCTAATCAATGTGGAAGTAATAATTACTAGTATCTCGCGGTCATTTTGTTGACCACTGCACTGCTATGATTTAGCTATTGACCCTTTTTCCCACCAAAGAGTTGCTAACTAAATCCCCTGTACATTTTGAGAATGGATGTACATCTGGGCCTAAAAAATGTAATGTCCAAAGGGTCCTCTTAAGCTTGGGGTTCTTAGAACAGAAAGGACCTACGATCTTCTAATCTGATACCCAAGAGCCTGAGGCTCACAAAGGTCAGGACTGCCCCCAGTCACAGAGCTACTGAGAAACACAGCCTCCAAATGCCCGTTTTTCCATGCTTTTCTCCTCACATCAACTTGGTGTAAACACCAACAGCTTCCCAATATAGCTTCCCAGTGGGCTACAAGACGTAGAGAAGCTGCAAAGAAATGCCTTCACAGTGGGCCCCCAGCACCTCTGAATCCGCATCTAGAAGGAGACTGACCCCCTGCAGCACTTCAAGGTGGTCCAATCTTAGGAGTAGCCCCAAGCATCCAACCATCCCTCTGGTCCTCCCAGAGCTATGGCAGGTAGTCAAGGGTAAGGACTAACGACACGTACTCATCACTGGACAAACTCCACCTTCATCCCACAGCTGAGCTTTGGGTCCCAAGAGCACCCTGTGTGCTCTGAGGAATTCCAATTTTAGTCCATCTCTCTGCTTAGAAATGCAGATGTCTGTGTACCTGCTGGTGTGAGCATACATCGGTTTATATGGGGCCATGGCTAGCCACACAGATATTTCAAGGGCTGTGGAGGGTATGCACACGTTTCTGAGGACAACTCAGATACTTATTTAGATCAGGTGGGCTGCCAGACAGTTAGGACCCAGCAAGAAGAACCCACACAGTGTCTTTTAAAGATTAATACATTGCCAATATTTAAAAATTGGCTGATTTCACATAAAATCCTAATTTCCAGCTTTTCTTAAATACCACTAGATCCAGGAGCACTGAATTCCTGCATTCCTGAGCGGTAATAAGAGTCCGGAGCTGGGGAGCTGCCGTTCCTCTGACAGAAGAGATGCATTCTCTAGTTTGCTACAGACCTGACAACCAAGTGCCACCCAGGTTGCTGCTCACCCCCCAAGCTTGCCCGATATGTTCTGGCCCCTTCTCTGTGGGCCAGGGCCTGTTTCATTCATCCAGTTTTCCTGTCAGGCATCTAAGTGTACAGATCCCCGATTTACTTCATATAGCTCATAGTGGTCAGTCTGGACTCTCTTAACCTCTTGTTCCCCACAGCACTTGGGGCTTCTGGAGACAGTTTCCTTCCCTGGCGTATTGTTCCACTTTGGAACGCGTCCCCAGAGACGACAGCCTGTAACTTTCCCTTTCTCTGCCCTGTCATCAGCCCAGCAGGCTTCTTTTCAACACCATTCAAAGCAGGCCCACCAATCACAGCTCAGAAGAATCCCCAAGGTAGCCAATGGCAGGACAGGCTGTCCTTAGACCAACAAGAAACCACGAGACATAGAGAAACTCATTACCATGCTAGAAAAATAAAGATAAAAACCCAAGAGAACCTACTGCAACAAGACTTAGGAAAACATTTACTGAAAAGAGTCTTGATCAAGGCGCAGTGTGCTTACAGACTGCCTTTGATCCTTACCTGAACTTCCTCCGTCCGAGTAGAATCATTTGCCAGCAGGGGCTCTCCGGTGGGAGCTTGAATGGTGACAGATTTTTCTGACCCTCTGCCATCTTTATTCCGGGGTGATTTGTGTCTCTCTCTATTTCTCTCCCTGAAAAAAAATGATCATCAGCTAGCACATTCATACTGTGTGAATCACCTCTCACTGAAATATATTATACATTTCATTTTGAGTTAGGAAAATTCTACACACTCATATATACACACACAGACACACACACACACAGACACACACACACACACAGACACGGTGCCAACACCCATGGAAGCCACCCCCTGCAAGGAGTAAGCTCATTTTTACCCCCTACTTAGTATTTTCTTTCTGCCATTCCAAGACCCAAAACAAAGACTGTCACTCCTCCCTCAACAGTGGAGTTAAAAATAGATTTTTTCAAAGCCTAAAATTATGAATTTTAGAATTTCTGTAGCTGAGGCACATTTTACTGTAAAATTACTGACTTGATTTGGTTATAATATGCCTAAATTTATTTTCTAGGGCTTTCTTGTGGGGACAACACTGCAAAATATTTACACTTTGGTCTGTCCAAAAAAATCTGGGACACATTGTCACCCTACACCTTTGGACAAGTTGAGAAGAAAGGAAATTCTAAACCAGTACAAAGAAGCATTTACTTCTCATTCCTACAAATTCAAACTGAAAGTCATTCCCACAGGTTCTGGATAAATTCAAAGGCACCCAGAGGGACAATAAAAGCCAGGACAAATGACACCAAGAGGTGCGTGTGTGCGTGTGTCTGTATTTTCAGGCTTCCTAAGGAAAGCAGGCTGCTGCCTCATTTTACTCCAGATGAACTTCCTGGGTGGTCTTCCAGGGTAACTGCGAGAGCACCCTGCCACGGGGTCAATCTTGAAATTACGAAAGGACTCAACCGCTGTGCGAAGCTCAGAAGTCACAACCTAGCCATTAACCACCCATGGAAACTGGCACTCCTGTCCCCCAGCTGTGAACAGTCAGTCCAGGAGCCTGTCTGTCGGTGTCCCCTGTCTTAGAGACTGCCTTGACACCAGTCCTCCCTTCAAACACCTGCTCTCATTCCCAAGGTCCCCCCCCACCCCCCCGGCAGGACAGAGCACTGCACACACAGACTTTGGGGACACCAGTCAGATCTCAGTTCTGCCCCTTAATAGGTTATTCAACTTCTGAAATTCAAGTTATTCAACTTCTGAAAATCTGTTTCCTCTCTGTGAAATGGGGATAATGATAATACCACATAGATAATGTATGCAGAGCTCGGTACGGGGGCCTCGGAGGAGACATACAAGGAACTATTAACACACATCCAACTCCTTCCCTCCACAGCATGTCTCCTAATAACCTGCTACTTAGCCAACAAAATCACATGCAGTCTTCCTGTGGGCAAACTCCAACCTTATGAGCACCTCTCCAGGATAAGCACTGGTTAGTTTGTTCAAAGGCATCCTCGATTCCAGAAACTTTCAGTTGAGAGCATCTCTAATTTCTAGAGCATCACTTATCATCCTGATCTATTGTTAAATTAGAGTGTAGAAATACATGTGTTCGGATCAACTTGGGTGTTTCAGTTTAACCAGGTAACTGGGGGGGGGGGCAGCAGAAAATCTGTTTACCTAGAGATGTATCTATCAATGCCAATCATTCCACTCCCCGCTCCAATTTAGAGAGCACTTTATTAGGTGCTCTATGATACTAATTTCATTCGATCCGGACAGTAACAGTATGAGGACAGGAGTCTTGTCCCCATTTTAGAGATGAAGAAACCAAGGCTCCCGGAGGTTAACTGATTTGCCAAACTCGTAGTAAGTGGCAGAGCAGGATGTGACCCCAGGTCTGCTCCCACCACCTCGATTCACACCCGCAATGCTGCGCTGATCTGAAGACCAACTGGGCAAGATCCAGCAGCATGAATATTCCTAATGCTCATCCTGACACCCTCTAGCTGAACCGCTGGAGCTCTGAAATCTGCCTGTGGGGCTACCGTTGGCAGTCACAAATGCACTGTGAACTTGGGACAGCATAATGCAATGAGCCCAAAGCTCTGGGCTGCCAAAGACAATCACTTCAAAAGGTCCCAGTGTGAGAAACAATAAACAATTTGGGAGAGCCTTCCCAGGTGCCTGGGCCGTCTTCGGGATGATCTTTGTGGACGAAGTCTAGAACCCGATTCCCAGGGCCTCCATCGGCCAGACCCAGGAGCCTCCTCTTCTATCTTGTGTCTCCATCACCCCCAACTGTTTCCCCAGCTATCAACTCTTTCTGTCACCAGCCAAGTCATGTGCTCCCCTAACCCCATCTATCTATTCACTAGTCCCATGGGTCAAATCCTGTGACAGCACAAATTCCACTGGAAACCAAAATTCTTTCACTGAATGCGAAGCGCTGGAGCCCGAACACGGCCAAGGCAGAAAGCAGGTGGGGGACACACCCAGGGCTGGAAACTGCCTCGCCAGGGCCAGCCATCACTCTGACCCCTGGCCCACCCCACCTGGCTCTTAAAGGGCCCAAAAGCATCCAAAGGAGACATGATAGCCTGAACCATTCCCTTGGTGACATCTGGTAAACCAGATAGGAGCCTATTATCTGATAACCCCGGGAAGGGAAGGCTTTCTCATCCCCCAGAGCCAGAAACCCGAAACCAGTGCTTCTCACACCTGAGTGTGCAGAGACACCACCTGGGGTGGGGATTTAAGTGCAGATTAGCTGGCCCCACTCCTAGGGAATTCTGGAAGGGAGACAACAGGAATCTGCATTTTCACCAGCACCCCAGGTGATCAGGATGCAGGTGGTCCAGGAAACTTTCCCCAAGGTTCTTCCACCCAAATGCTCCCGGGGAGAGGGTTGTGGTTTTGAGTGCTTGGAGGTCTGGCTGTCCGTGAAATGCCTGTATACAGCAGGGGCTCAATAACGGGAGCATTATGCTCAGCCATACAATGTCGAGGTGTAGAGTAGCTTCTTCAATTAAAATAGCATTAAGTGGATGAGGCTGGGGAGAAGGTTCAGGCCAGTGTGCACCAGGACTCAGCATCAGCATTAGCGTGCATCAGCCTTGTGCTGGTCCCTGTTCTCAAAGGAGCAAGACCTGTCACACAGCTTTTACAAAAATCACTGGTCATGAATTACTGCTCTGGGAAGGCGTCTGAGCCAGTACTAAATAGGGAAGTCCAACAAAACCACTGCCATTCAGTGTTGTCCAGGGTGCAGAGCTCGGACCACAGGATGGCTGCTTCACTGCATGAGGATCCTGCCCACATATTCATCTCGACAGCTCCCAACACTGGGACTCCAAGCAAGTCCCAAGTGCACTCTGGGTGAGGGCTTCCCAGTGGTGAAGACAATCTGTTCATGGGATCTAAGAGTGGAAGCAGGAGACATGGCGGGGGTGGGGGTATGGCTATCAAACCACAAAAGGCCTGTTACAAACCCACGCACACTGGGAGTGTTTCCAGCTCTGCCTGAGTGGTCAGGATCACTGGTGCCCCTGCCGGGCAGGCATGTCAGCCACAGGAACCGCTGTATCTTTACCTTGGAGTCCGTCTCCATGCGACATCTGCCCATAACGGTACAGATCAGTGTATCTGTGCTTGTGGGTGTGCAGGCAAGAGGGTGGGAAGAGCAAGCAACAGCAGGCAGGAGGCCCGGGCACGTGTCTGTACCTGCTTGCGCCTGTGTGTGTGTGTGTGTGTGTGTAAACGCATCTATTTAGGCGATTCCAGAGCTGAGCCCTTGGGGGCTGCTGTAAAACCCCCCGGTTCCAGCCAGAACCTCCATCAATTCCTGTTCCCTTCCCGCTACAGTCTGCATTTCCTGGAAAGACCATTTAGCTCTGTTTCTGTTGGTGTATTTCTATTTGGGGAAAGCCGGCCCCACCAGTCACTCCTCCCTTTCCTTCTCTACCACCACCCACTACCTGTCCTTGCCCTGCTGATGGCGGGGCTGTCTGGCTGCTTTCGCTGGCTCCGCACGGACCGGGTGGGAGGGCCGGGCACAGCGCAAACCGACTCTGAGGCCGCCTGGAAACACCAGCGCCAATTCTCTCCGCACTCTTTTGAGCATTTCAGCACATTAGTCACATGAGTCCCCCCGCCCCCCATCCCCCCTACAGGATACCCCTGCTGTTCTCCATCTAGCACAGCCCAGGGGGCGGGCGGGGGGCGGGGGGGGAAGCTTGGGCTTCCAAAGGGCCAACAAGTCAGGCCCGAAGCCTGCTAAGGGTACCTGCTAGCCTCATAAGGTCAGGCAATCACACTGCCTCTCTGCACCTCCCATTTTATCACCTGCTGAATGGGGACACCACCTCCCCACAGCTCTAGGACTGCCGTGAGGATGGAGGCCAGGGACTGAGGGTCCTCGCAGGTGCCTGCCAAGTGTTCCTTAGCATCTCAGGCCACTGCTGTATGTGACACAAAGAAATGCTACTCCAGGCTCAAAAGGTAAGGTGAGGTCAGCTGAAGTCCGCACCGTTTTCCCAGCAAGTTGACTAACTGGACACCCTCTGGAGAGAGCAGACATCACAAAACCAGACCGCTGACCTCTTTGTTGGAAAAAAGTCAGTTGTCATCTGTTTGGATCCCAGCCAGCCCCCCAAAGCTGATGACGGTGTCACTGGGCATATCAAATTTGGTGCACTTCATTATTCCTCTCTGGGTGAGAGGTCTGCTACAATTACCAAAAAGCAAGGTCCCTCCGCTTTCCTACTTTTCCATTCAAATTCCTGACAAACCCCTGAGCAGAACAGCCTTCATGGGGACCCCCTGGGGGTTACCATACCCTTGGCTGGGGCTAGGGCCTGCTTAGACACCGGTGAGGTGTATTCTTACCGCTTAATATTCTTTCTGCCCTGACACAGTACTCCCCGGCACGCACCATCCACAGACTGTAAGCTTTGCCCCGTAGTTCGCTCACTCGCCTTAAAAGGCCCTCAGAGAATTCACCGCATGTGGGTGTTGTTTTTTCCTCAAGAACCCACGGAATCTCTGATGGCCATCCCTTCCACCCAGAGCTTTTCTGAGTAGGCATTCAGTAACACTCCTTGATTACTTTATTAAAAGGCTCAGCTTGTCCTATCATTTGCCAGGTACCTTCCACATGGGTCCAAGAAGGCACTAAGAGTTCCGCACGCCGTTTTAATTGGGAATTATTGTCTCTTAAAGTCACCATAAGAACACTGCTGGATCAATTTCTGGGGGCCCCAAGAGGCCTGAGAAAAGAATGGAGCACAGCCCGGGGCCCTGACGTAGAATAGTCAGGACCCATGCGAGGCAGAGGAGACCAGAGATGGTTCCTCCTCAGAATCCTGTAATGCGTCATCCCTGATTCATCCCCAAGCACCAGCAGCACCCCAAATTCCTACTTCTGTCACTGCCATGTGGAAAAGAGAAGCTTGGCACGCTGACAAGGGAATGGCTTTCTCCAACTGGATGATTCCAAATGGCTATTTCTGGTGTTTTAGAATGAATCTGATTATGTTCATCCGCTGGTTGAAATTTGTGATGAATCTTTGATCACCAGAGGGGTTCTGACTTTCCGGAGACCTGGGCTCTGCCGTGTCACCTGAGGCCTCCCTCAGCAGGCTTCTGTTCAGCATGCTGCCAGAAAGGCTGACCCAGGCTCCAAGAAGAGTTCGTTCACATCCTTTCCCCACATTTTTATGATTTTAAGACCAATACATGAAAATTTAGAAAATAATGGAGGTTTCAAAAACAAAAAACAAAAAACCCACCCATAATCTTAATAATCCTATACTCAGAGACAGGACAGGCATGGCCAATAATGTTACCATTCATCTTCTCATAAAAATATAGAGCTATTATAAGGCACAAAGTTTTGACTCTTGCTTTTTATATCATGGCCTCATAACCATGATTTCTCAGGTCATTAAACAATCTGTGTAAATGGTTGTTTTACATTCTTTTATTCTGTTCAGATTTTTAATTACAAGACACACCCTTGTGGAAGGCTGAACGGGTACAGAAAGATAAAGCAAAAACAAAAATTCCCTTGGGGCGCCTGGGTGGCTCAGTTGGTTAAGCGACTGCCTTCGGCTCAGGTCATGATCCTGGAGTCCCGGGATCGAGTCCCACATC